TTCGCCAATTTCGGCCCCCAGGGGCCCTCGCCGGGCCTCGGGGCCGTCAAAAAACGACCCAGGATGAAAAACCGGTCCTGGGGAACGGGTCGAGACTTCCAGGGACCGCGTATTGACAAAAATCACGACATCGGATCTCTGGGCCCTCGGGCAAGGAAGAAATCAAGCCCAGACCCCCTTAAGAGGATTGACAAGATCATGACGGAAGGTTCTTCTTCATCTTCGGCCTCCAAGCCCAGCCCCCTCGAGTAGTGACAAAAATCGTGACGGAAAGTTTTCCTTCATTTTCGGCCCCCGGAGGCCGAAAATTACAAAAAACGTCCCGTCATGATTTGTTCATTACTCGAGGGGGTCTGGGGTCTGGGCTGGGGCAAGGAACAAATCGAGGCGGGAGGTTTCTCCTACGTTTCGGCCTCCGGGGGCCCTTTGCCGGGCCCCGGGGCCGTCCAGAGACCGCGGCAGGACGAGGAGCCCGTCCTGGGGCATGGGTCGAGAGCTCCCCAGACCCCCGACGTAATGATTTTTCATTACGTCGACCCCCAGAGGTCCCGACCTTTTCCCTGACCTTCCAGGAGGGCTAAAAAATAGCACCCGACCTAAAAACCTATCCCTGAGCTATTCTGCGTCTTGGTTTTAGCCTGTTTCGTTTAGTTGTTTAGGTTTTTAGGCCTCCAGTGCTAAACAATAGCTCTCTGGAAGGTCAGGGTATAGAAGCCCTCCCGGCTACGGAGACGGCTTAAGGTCCCAGACCCCCGACGTAATGATTTTTTCATGACGCCGATCCCCAGAGGTCCCGACCTCTTCCCCATGACCGGCTTGCATCCTGAGTCGTCTTTTGACGCTCCCGAGGCCTGGTGAGGGCCCCCGGAGGCCGAAATTTTGGAAGAACCTCCCGTCGTGATTTTTTCATTTCTCGAGGGGTCTGGGAAGCCAGTCCTGGGGCATGTGTCGAGAACTCTGGGGATCGACGCGATGAGAAAGTCATGACGTCGGGGGTCTGGCAAGGCGGGGGGGCCTCTGTGCAGGCCCGGGCCCGGAGGCCTCTCACCCTGGGCCGCCTCAGTAGCCAGGAGGGCTTCTATGATAAGACGGCCCCCTGCTTTTCCCAGAAGCGTCCACTCCCGGAAGCTTTCTGGAGGCATCCCTTCCTCCCAGACCCCCTCGAGTAATGAAAAAATCATGACGGGAGGTTTTTCTTAAATTTTCGGCCTCCGGGGGCCCTCACCGGGCCTCGGGAGCGTCAAAAGACGACTCAGGATGCAAAGCCAGTCATGGAGGAAAGGGTGGGGACCTCTGGGGGTCGGCGTCATGAAAAAATCATTACGTCGGGGGTCTGGGACCTTAAGCCGTCTCCGTAGCCGGGAGGGCTTCTATACCCTGACCTTCCAGAGAGCTATTTTTTAGCACTGGAGGCCTAAAAACCTAAAAAACTACACGAAACAGGCTAAAACCAAGACGCATGCCAGGGATAGGCTTTTAGGTCGTGTGCTATTTTTTAGCCCTCCTGGAAGGTCAGGATAAGACGGCCCCCTGCTTTCTCCAGGAGCGTTCACTCCCGGAAGCTTCCTGGAGGCATCCCTTCCTGAAAGCACCTCCAGACCCCCGACGTCATGCTTTTCCCATGGCGTCGACCCCCTAGGTCTGGACCACTTCCCCGGGGACCGGTTTCTCATCCTCATCCTGAGCCGTTTTGTTGACGCTCCCGAGGCCCAGTGAGGGCCCCGCCCCTGGAGGCCGAAAATGACTGAAAGTCTGTCCGTCATGGTCTTTCCAGGAGCCGAGAGGGTCTGGGGAGCCCCGGGGGGGCTTCCATAATAAGACGGCCCCTGCCCTCCCAGAAGCATCCACTCCTGGAGGCCTCCATGGAGAGGCGTCCACTCCTGGAGGCCTCTCCGCCCCCCTGTGCGCGCCGCCACGATAGGAGGAGGTCCGCGTGATCCGCGAGGCCATGGAGACCGGCGCGGGCCTGGCCTCCGGCCGGGGCAGCGTGCCGCATGGGAGCCACCGGCACTCCGCGCCGCAGCTCCCCAGCTCGGAGGAGGGCCGGCGGAGGCGGCGGCGGCCCTTCCACGTCACACGGCGACTTCGGGGTCCTGTGGGCCTCCTGCGGGTCACGGCGCTCATCCCAGACCCTGACCTTCCAGAAAACCTACAAAACTAAACGAAACAGCCTAAAACCAAGACGTGGAATAGCTCTGGGATAGGTTTTTAGGTCGGGTGCTATTTTTTAGCCCTCCTGGAAGGTCAGGGGACCCCCTCGAGGAATGAACAAATCGTGGCGGCAGGTTTGTCTTGATTTTCGGCCTCCGGGGGCCCTCCCCGGGCCGGAGCGTCAGAACACGACTCGGGATGCAAAGCCGGTCATGGGGAAAGGGTCGGGACCTCTGCAGAGGTCCCTCCTCAGCTCCGGGACCTCCGGGACCTCCGCCTGTACGTCGTCCCCCATGGGGGACGACGTAATGAAAAAAAATGACGTCGGGGGTCTGGGATGCGAGCTCGGAGGTGTAGCATTGACTGAGGTGAGAATGGCCTTGCACTGGAGGGCCCTTCCCGGATCCCACCGCGCTGTGAATTAACACAACGGGGGGGGGTTCAGTTTTTTCGGCCTCTGGGGGCCTTCGCCGGGCTTCGGGGCCGTCAAAGCACGACTCAGGATGAGAAACCCGTCCCGTGGACTGGGTCGAGACCTCGTGGGGGCGACGTAATGAAAGAAAATCATGACGTCGGGGGTCTGAGACCAGAGGTAAGAATGACCGTCCACTGGAGGGACCTTTGGTGCGGGCCCAATGGGGTCCCCCGATCCCCGAGCGCGATGCGATGACGCAGCGTGTTGCGCGCTTACGTGTGTGTTGGTCCCCCCGCGGTCCCCCAAAAAGCCGCGCACCAGAGGTCACCCTTGCCAGAAAGCACTCTTGCTCAGGGTAACTCTTTATACCAAGGTCCCCTCTTACCCAGGGCTACACCCAACAAAAGCAGAACAGCTCTTGCGTGCGTGTCGAGCCGAACGAAAAGGGGGGATAGGGGAAGGGGGGGGGGGGATAGAAATCTGCTGCATGCAGCTGGTTTCGGTCCCGCCGCCGGGCCCATTCCTCGATACATGGGCGCCTCCCGGCGCCGGGAGGCGCTAGGAAAATCAGCCGCGTGAGCTGCTTCTCTACCCTACCCTCTGCTATCCCCCCCTTTTGTTCCCCCCCCAGCGTGTCGTCGAACGGAGGCAGAGATCCGATGTCGTGATTTTTTCCATACGCGGTCCCTGGAAGTCTCGACCCGTTCCCCAGGACCGGTTTTTCATCCCGGGTCGTTTTTTGACGGCCCCGAGGCCCGGCGAGGGCCCCTAGGGGCCGAAATTAGCGAAAAACCTCCGTTTTGATTTTTTCAATGCGTTGGATCTCTTGGGGAGGCAAGGGGTTGATGAGAAGCAGCGGGGCGACGAGCAGCAGGGCGGCGTACACGAAGCAGGAGGACGGGGGGAGCGTCTGGCCAGCCAGAGACCTCCCCTCGTGCCCCCTCGCCGCCACGCCTGCGCGGTGGGTGCGCAAGGCTGCCTGTGGGCTGTCCTCCTCCTCCTCCTCCTCCTCCTCCTCCTCCTTCTCCATCTCCTCCTCCTCCTCCTCCTCCTCCTCCTTCTCCTCCTCCTCTTCCTCCTCCTCCTCCTCCTCCTCCTCCTCCTCGTCCTCCTCCTCCTCCTCCTCCTCCTCCTCCTCCTCCTCCTCCTCCTCCTCCTCGGGTCGCCTGCGGTCCCCGGGGAAACCGTGCACCCCCGACCCCATCTTTCTGCGCCATTTTTCGAGCCGGATCGATCTGTGAGGGTCCTGGGGCACGAAATTAAGCGAAAACGCCCGTGTCGAAGACATTGCAACGTCATGATCTCAGGGTCTCCGCTGGCCCCCCTCCGATCAGCGCGCGCCCGCCCGGGGCCCCGGCCCCCAGCGTCAACCAGTCGGACGAGCTCGCGGCCGCGAAGCTGTCGGCGGGCGCGCCGGCCGAGCGCCTCGCGGGGCGCGGCGGCGCGGGCGCAGGCGGCGGCGCGGGTGGGGTCGCCCCCGGGCCTGGCATCCCGGCGACGCCGGCCGAGGCCTCTGGGGCCTCCCAGCAGATGGGGGTCCCCAAACGGGGTGGTGACCACTCCGTGCGGTGAGTCGGTGGGTTTCGGGGTCACCGCACGGTTTTGGGACTCGGGTCGTTCTCCGAGGACGTCGCGGGCGACTGGGGCCTCCGAGGTCCCAAGAGCGTGCGTTGACGGACCGTGCGGTGAGGTCTTGGGGGATTTCGAGGTCACCGCACAGTCTGTCACCGCACCGTTTCGGGACTCCAAAAGCAGATGGGGTCCGAGCAAGCGGGGTCGGAGGATGGCGCCGCATCGCCGACGCGTCGCCCCCAGGCCCCCTCGAGCGATGACAAGCAAAATCACCACGCGAGGCGTTTCGCCATGTGTTCGGCCCCTGGGGGACCTCGCCAGGCCTCGGGACAGGGGAAGGGGTCTGGACCTCTGGGGGTCGCGTCATGAAAAAAATAGCACGTCGGGGGTCTGGGGATGGCGCCGCATAGCCGATGTATCGCTAATGCATCGCCGATGCATCGGCGATGCGGCTCGATGTGGATCCCGACTTTCTCCACGCCGTCGGCGCCGATGCGTCGCTGACGTCGGCGATGCATCGCCGATGCATCGCCGATGCAGTGTTGGTGAATCGGCCATGCATCGGCAATGCGGTGCAATCCTCTGGCCCCATCTACTCGGACCCCATTAGGGAGGCCTCTAGGTGTGGCAGCAGACCAGCCGCATCTCGAAGAGGGAAAAGCGGCGTAAGCATAAACTTTCGGAGCTCCGCGCGGGTTTCTTCGATCGATGCGGGGGCCCTGCTATGGCGCCGCCTCTGGCGCCGCCCCTGGCGCGTTCCGCGCTCTAAGGAGGGGGGTCTTGCGCCGGTCCAAGGAATCCACTCGGACATCTGATAAATTATGTTTATGCTGTTTTTTGTTCCTCCAGCATTGGGAGGCGCATGGGCGCGCTGGTGTCGCGGGCGCCCCCCGCGAGGAGGGAGTGCATCGACCGCACCAACGACTGCTTCCGCGCGCTGCTGTCCGAGCGGAGGGGCCCGTACTACGAGGACGAGCAGGCGCGTGCGAGGATGATATCCCGAGCCCTTGCGTCTTGGACTTCCTGGGGAGGGGTGCCGAACGGCCTTGGCATACGGTAGGTTCGCGTCGTGTCGACCGGCGGCGACCCCGCCGCCGACGTTCAAGGTTGAACGCCGACGGCGGCCCAGAATTGGTCGATGTTGAACGATCGGACGTTGCGGAGACGGCCGATCGTTCAAGGTTGAACGAATCAGCGCGGTGTCAGGAACCAACGCCAGGGTCGACACGGCACGGACCTGCAGTAGGGGATATGGATCGAAGCCTGGCCTCTTGCAGCCAGATGTTTCTCCACATCCGCTGCGCCCCCGTGGTTTCAGGGGAGAGGGCCCGAAGCTCCAGGACGCTGTGGATATGGCGCCGCGCCGTTCGTTCCGACGCCCGGCCTTCCGTGTTGGGGAGGGCGCCTCGGCCACCAGGGCAAATGCCGCCCTGGGCGCAGGGCTTGCTGCGGGGTTTGCCGCGGCACCGGCTTCGTCTACTTGTGCGCGGGCCGCAGGGTTTGCCGTGGGTTTGCCGTGCTGCAGGCGTCGTCCACTTACGCGCGTCGAGAACAAACGGCGTGGCGACGGATGGATGCAAATCCAGCCCTCATCAGGTGGCCATGCACATGTCGCTCACCTCGAGCAACAGCGGCTCCCGCCCCTGCCTCGACTTCGACGTGGCCGTGGCGAACCGGGGCGTGCGCCCGATCCACGAGGTGCGAGGAGGAGCAATTTGCATGAGCACGAGGGAAGGAAGTCCAGAGGAGGAAAAGGTACTCAAATCGCTATCCTTCCCTCGTGTTCCTCTTCTCTCGCCGCCACCGCTGGGTTCGCCTCGAAATCCTGGTCAGAACGCGCCCCGAGAGAGGTCCATGAAGCAGCGGTATCGGTATCTTTTGGTTCCACCCGAACCCAGACCCCCGACATGATTTTTTCATAATGTCGACCCCCAGAGTTCTCGACCAATTTCCTGGGACTGGTTTCTCATCCTGAGTCGTGTTTGGACGGTCCCGAGGCCCGGTGAGGGCCCCCGGAGGCCGGAAAGAGCGAACACCTTGCCGTCGTGATTTTTTCATGACCCGAGGGGGTCTGGGGAGGGAGCAGGAGGCGGACGCGGGCGACGGTGGGACACACCAGCAGCAGAGGAGATAGGGGGAGGAGGATAGAAGGGGGGCAGGGGGGACGGAGAGGACGAGGGATTGGAAGAAGCGAGGCAGTCAAGCGACACGTCGAGCACGACAAGCATTGACGGGGGTGGTCGGCATTGGCCAGCGGCTGCCTCCAGCTCAAGAGTTGACTCCACAAGGCTGGCTGCGCTGGGGTCGGTGCGGATTTCTTGGATCGGCATATACACCTACATACATACAGACACACATTCATACATGCATGCATGTATGCATGCATACATACATACTTACATACTTACATACATACATACATACATACATACAGACAGACATACACACATACACACATACATACATATAAACACACACATACATGCATACATACATGCATACATACATACATACACACACATTCATGAATACAGCCACACATGTGTATACCAGCATCGAGACATGCGCACATACAAACATACAAACACCCAAACATACAGATCGACATACATGCATACATGCACACAAACACATGCATGCATACGTACATACGGACACATACATACACACACATACATCCATACGTACATACACATGCACACATGCACACACACATACGTACACACATACATACATACATACATACATACATCCATACAGACAGACAGACAGACATGCATATACACATACATATATACATGCCGACACACCTACATACATCCATCCATATATGCATACACAAGTACAATCATGCATGCATGCGTACACGCATACATACATACACACATGCATACATACATACATACATACACACATACATACATACGCTCACACATACAGGCAGACATTCAGACATACAAACATACACATTCACATACATTCATTCATACAGACATACATACATATATACAGGCATACAACCATACATACATACACACATACATACAACCATGACTGCATGCACACATGCATGCATACATACATACACGTGCACACATACACACATGCATACATACATACACACATACACACATACACACATATACACACCTACACACATGCACACCCACATACATACACACCTTTGTGCACACGGTCGGCGCCGCCAGCGCACCCCCTGGTGCGCGGAGTGTTCCAGGGGCTGCGCCGGCGGCGCCGCAGAGAGGTCCAGCGCAGATCCCAGACATCCAGGCAGGCCCTGAGCACGAAGGCCGGTGCAAGGAAGCATCATCATCATCATCACCACCACCACCACCATCATCATCATCATCATTAACATCATCAGCATCATCATCAACATCATTGGCGGACGTCAAGAAGGTGATGTTCCATGAGAACCCACGTTGCGGAAAGCTGCAACATACGACCTGAGCCTTGGACGCCGCTTTTCGGCGCCATCTTCCGGGGCCCGAGAACAGGCCGAATCGCCCGCCGTGGAAAGATGCTGTGCCAGGGTCTCAGGGTCCGAAAGCTTATTCCCCAAATAGTGCTTGTACTTAGGGTTAAGTCGGGCCTGTCCCTCAGCAGGGGGAATGCTCAAAAATAGTAAAGAAATAGTCTGGGGATTTTTCTTGACTATGTTTTGACCTTGTTTAATATTTTTTGGGAGTGTTCATTATTTGTCGTTCAAAATCCCTCTGTAGGGGGAACCGCCCGACTGAAACTTAGGGGTTCTTACTTGCCTTACTTTGGAATTTGGTGGGTGCCTCGAGAGATTCGCCACATCCTGGCCCACTTGCGCACCCGTTGCCGCCTGTCGCCGCCAGTTGCCGCTCGTGCGGGTGCGTCCAGGCTTCGCCAGGGTCCCGCCCGGAGCCGTCCGTTGCCGCTTGCCCAGACCCCTTATCGAGTCATGACAAACATCACGAGGGGAGGTTTTTCCTGATTTTCGGCCCCTAGGGGCCCTGGCTGGGCCTCGGGACCGTCAAAAACGACTCAGGATGAGAAACCGGTCCTGGGGAATGGGTCGAGACCTCTGGGGACCGTATATGGAAAAAATCACGACATCGGATCTCTGGGCAGGTGGGTGCGTCGAAGATTCGCCACCCTCCAGCCAGTTGCCACCCCATTGCCGCTATCTTGCCGCTGCACGACATGTTTTTTTACCTCTCGAAGGTGCAGTCGCCCGCTGTTTGGGGTCCACGCTGGCAGCCATGTCTCTGGCGCGTGTTGCTCCTCGTTAGAGTTGAGGCCTTCCAGATGGGGTCCGAGTGGATGGATCGGAGGGTCCCGCCGCATCGCCGATGCATCGCCGATACGTCGGCGATGCATCAGCGATGCGGGATGATGTGAAGCCAGAGTTTCTCCGCGCCGACGCTGCCGATGCACTGCACCGCCGATGCATCGGTGATGCATCGACGATGCGCCGCGATACTCCGACCCCATCTGCTGCGACCCCATCTGGGAGGCCGCTGTAGAGCCGGGGAAGCGTAAGACTCGAGTACGCCTGAATTCTGGTTTGCCGACGTTTTTTGCCGGACCCGCCCTCGAATTTTGACGGCCCAGTCTTCGTGGGATGCCTGCAGTGGTAGGTCGCGCCGAATTTCAGAACGTGTCTTGTCATTTTCCTGACGGCCTCGCCATAGGCTAACCCGAGTCCCCCCAACCCGAGTCTTACAGTGGAGACCCATGCCAAGAAACACCCTCCTTGCCTCCAGGGTGCACTGCGTTTCTGGGGTGGCGACGGCTTTCCGACGGAAACCGTGGCGTTCCCACACCAAAAATCAGTGGACGTCTTGGGGTCTCAGGGTTGGGTTTCTTGTGGAACGATTCTTGTGGACGGACCTCCACTGTACAGTCGGGGCCCTGAAGAAGGAACCCTTTTCGTTTGGGAGGGGCTCCGTGTTCCTCAATTGTTTCGCGGCTTGCCTTGGATTTTCCTCAGGTCTTCGATACGAAATCGAAGTTCAGCTTATGGAAAATACGGGCCTCGTTCCTTATTTAGGGTTCCTTAGGTCAACGCCTCGACTGCACGTCTCCCCGACAGAGGAAACGGCAGGGCCGTTTTGTCACCGTTTCCCCAAAAATGCCCCTTGAAAATGGAAACGGCAAAAACACGGCGACCGGAAACAACCAAAAAACGGCTCCAGGATCGGAACCGGAGCCGGAACAGGTCAAAAAACGGCGACGGAACCGGTAAAACAACGGCGTCGGAACGTGCAAAATAACGGCAAAACGGAACCAGCAAAAAAACGGCCCTGTCGTTTCCAGGGCCCACTAAGGTCCTGGGGTCTCAGGGTTGGGTTTCTTGTGGAACTCTTCTTGTGGACGGGCCTCGACTGTACGTCTCCCCGACAGAGAGGTGCGGCTTGTCCCGGGGGAGCCCGTGGCCTTCTGCGAGCTGCGGGTGCAGCAGGACCCGCAGGCGCAGCCGGGCGGCCGCGTGGCCCCCCGGCAGAGGGCCACCTTCCACGGCCAGCTGGCCGCCCTGGGCCCCTTCGAGGCCGCGCCTCAGGCGGGCGGCGCGAGGTCAGCCAACCCAGACCCCCTCGAGTAATGAAAAAATCACGACGGGAGGTTTTTCCTAAATTTCAGCCTTTGGAGGCCCTTACCGGCCCTCGGTACCGTCAAAAAACGACTCAGGATGAAAAACCGGTCCCGGGGAATGGGTCGAGATCTCTGGGGGCCGACGTCATGAAAAAATCATTTCGTCGGGGGTCTGGGAACCCAGACCCCCTCGCGTTGTGAAACAAATGGCGGACTGTTTTTCGCTAATTTGGGCCTCAGGAGGGGCGAATTTCGGCGAGCCTGGTCGCGGGGCCGGCAAAAGATGACTCAGGATGAAAAACAGGTCCCGGGGAAGGGGTCCAGACATTTCGGGCTCGACGCTGTGAACAAATCACGACGCTGGGGGTCTGGGAACAGACACCGAAGGCAAACAATTGCATACACATAAAATCTAACTACTCTCCGCGCGGATTGCTTGAATCGGCGTTGGGCCCCTCCCTCTCCTTGGCCCTGGCACCAACATCGGCGGTGTGCCTGCACCGAAGGAAGATGATCCCGGCCTCGGCGATGGTAGTGCTATTCGGGCTTCCAGGTCGCCGAATTATGATTACCAGATCTAGGATCATCTCCTCCGGCGGAGGCAGCCCCCTGCCCAGAGATCCAACGTATTGAAAAAAACAAGACGGGGGTTCTTCGCAAATTTCGGCCCCTCGGGGCCCTCGCCGGGCCTCGGGACCCTCAAAGATCGAGCTGGGATGAAGAACCGGCCCTGGGAAATGGGCCGAGACTTCCGCAGACCGCGTTTGGAAAAATCACGACGTCGGATCTCTGGGTGTGCTGATGCTGGTGCCTAGCTCCAGCCCTCCAAGACACATGATGGGCTTGTTTTCCACCACCACCACCATAAGTTGGAGGGGGGAAGGAGGTGGAGGAGGAGGAGGAGGAGGAGGAAGAGGAGGAGGACCCCCCCCCTCCTACTTATGGTGGTGGTGGTGGAAGACCCGCCCACCAACACAGCCTCGTTCGCGCCTCTGCTGGGGCATCCTGGGGGGGCCTCCTTCGCCGTCGCCGTGGCAGCGTCCGCCCCCCAGACCGGCTCGCGTCGTGGAGCGGATTATTTCAGGAGGCAAAAAAACACACAGACATAATTAATCGTCGACTCCCAGGGAAATATAGGAAAATATGGGAAGTGGGGGGGAAGACAAAAATCCAGAAAATATGGGAAAATATGGGGAATCTTTTTATTTGTGTCTATTTATTTGTGTGTCCCAGTTCCCCTTCATTATTACCAGCCTGGAACATATCCCTATCCCTATGCTGGGCATCTCCTCATCACGATTCCGATCTTAGGGAATCCCTTATTTTTGAGGGCGCATCCCTAAGATCGTCATCGCCTTCTGGCGTGTCAATCTCAGGGATAGGGACACGTTCGAGGCTGGTTAGATTAGGACGGATGGCTTTTCGCCATTTCCAGGCTCTGGGAGCCTTCACTCGAAGAGAAAAATAAAGCATCGCCACACGCAAACTTTCGGCCTCCCGCGTGGATTTCTTGGATCCGCGCTGGGCCCCCAGGCGCCGCCTCCGGCGCCGCCCCTGGCGCGCTCCGCGCGCCAGGGAGGGGGGTCCAGCGCAGTTTCAAGAAATCCGCGCGGAGCGCCTAAGATTTCTGTTTATGGCATAATCCCTAATTAATCCCCCCCTAAAAAACCGGACCCCCCTCCAACTGCGACCTAATTTTCTAGAACCCCCTCTTCGACGGGGCGCCTTACTAAACCAGACCCCCTAATTAAGCTCCAATCCAAAGAACGCGCCCTGATAAACCGACCCCCCACCCCAGTTACAAAAAAGGCGCCTAAAAAAAACAGGCAGAGACCCGCGCCAAAAATTACCCTGCTTGCCTCCAGGGTGCATTACGTTTCTTGGGTTTCAATGGACGTCCTGGGGTCTCAGGGTTGGGTTTCTTGTGGAAGGTTTCTTGTGGACTGGCCTCCACTGTAGCACCCCGCAATTGCGGATAAGAGTGAGGGGGCGGCGGGGACGGCTGCAGTCTGCGAGACTCTGAAGAAGCCCGCCGCAGGCGCCCAATTTTCATCATTCATGCAACACTCCCGCCGCAGGCGCAAATTTTTCGTTAGAGCAATGTGGGTGGGTCGCGGGGTGGGTCGCGGCTGGGTCGCGGCTGGGTCGCGGGTGGGTCGCGGGGTGGGTCGCGGGCGGGCACGGGTGGGTCGCGGGTGGGTTGCGGGTGGGTCGCGGGCGGGTCGTGGGAGGGTCGCGAGAGGTACGGCGACAGCAACGCAACGCAACGCAACGTATTAACGATCCGCACCGCGGAACCCCATTTCACCCACGCACCCAGGGACAGTGAATGACCGTTCAGCCCCCTCACTCTGATATGCACAGGCACCCTACAGTGGATTGTTCCTGGGCTTCAGGGGAGGGTGGCGGTGCATAGCTCACCACAGGGGGCCAGCGACTCTATACACCGCCATCCTCCTTGATTGATACCCGCATAATTCGTCGGCGGGTGTCTGCGTATATATCCATCAGGGCTTGGCCCCCTGCCGCTGGCCCCCTTTCTCGGAGAAAGGGGCATGCAAGATCTATGTTGTGAGGCCTGGGTGCCGTCGTGAAGCAGCGTCATTGGAGCGCTCTTGGGGGCCTCTTGGGAGCCTCTTGGGCCGTCTGGAAGATAGTTCGGGCGCCTTGGAGCACTGCTGGGCCGCCTCGGAGGCCTCTTGTACCGTCTTCTGGGCCGTTTGTGAAGGATTGTGCTTTCGAAAGCGCGAATACTGTCCACTTTACGAATGTTTCTCTGATTTTGGGGACGCGAAGAACGCGTAATTCAGTAGGGATCGTGGCTTCGGGAACGCACGCATTGTGCAATGTACAAGGAATGATGGTTTCGGGAGCGCGAACACATTGTAATTTGCAAGGTTGAACGGCCTCGGGGATGCGAATACTTAGTAGTCTACAAGGAATTGTTGCTTCGGGGGCGCGGATACGGTAGAATTTGCAAGGGACTGCAGCTTCGGGAGCGCGAATCCAATGTATTCTTATGAGTCCCAGGACCCCCCAGCAATTCTGAGGACCACCCCAGGTGGTGGTAATCAGACCCTTTTCGGCTTTTCCCTTAACAGATCACAGCAGGAAGCAGAAACCAGGACTATAACATCGGAGACTGGAAACTGGAACTGGCGCAGGGAGCAGCAAGCCTCATCCGCGGAGCCTGGCGGCCCCACAAGGGGGCCATCGGATATTCGTGGCGTGCAGGAGACCGTTTTTTAACGGCTCGGAGTGCTGGTTCGCGCGGACATACGTGGGGCTGCCCACAGCGAAAAGGTTAGGTCATCGGCTGGCAGCTCCCCCCCTCCCCCCCCCCCCGATGGCTTGGATAATCGCTGGAAGCTAGGACTTGAAAAAAGTATGACGGGCGTGTTGTTTACTGTTTTCGGTTTTTGGAAGTCCTCACCGGACACCAGGATCGTCAAAGAACGACTCGGGAAAAGGGTCGGGGTTGGTTCAAAGAACGACTCGGGGACCGCGTATAGAAAATCAGGACGTCGCATGTTGCGGGTTGCCATGCTGGGACGTGTGTTTCCAGGTCTCCCATATAAGGTCCGGGTAGATGGGCTTGGAGGCTCGCGTCGCATTGGCGATGCATCAGCGATTCGTCTCGATGTGGAGCCCGATGTTCTCTACGACGCTGTCGCCGCGAAGCATCGCCAACGTCGCCGATGCATCGTCGATCGCGCCGTCTTGAAACGAGCCATGCGTAGGCATGCCCAAGACGGGGCCGGCGCGAGTCGCGGCCTGACCGTCCCCCTTCCCCCCTCGACCCTTGCAGGGAGCTGAGGCTAGTTGTCAGCCCGCGTCCAAAGAAAATGCTACCGCCAGGGGATAAACATGTGTTTACCCCGTTCAGCTCCGCCGACCCTGAGATCCTGGCGTTGCACTCTGGTTCGCAAGCCTCGACTTGGCCTTGTTTCGGGCTCCGGGGCCCTCACGGATCGATCTGGCTCAAAACATGGCGCAGAAAGATGGGGTCCAGGGTTATGGTCAATCTTTGTTTGCGATGTTGCATGTTTGCGGGACGTCGGCCCTCGGGGGATGATTTTGCAGCGTGCGGCGGCCCCGATTTACGCCACGTGCGTCGCATCGAGAACGGCTTCTGTGTGCAACCACACGTTGGCGCCAGCGCACGTTCTGGGGACAATCGGTCGTCGCTGAGGTGATCCTGTCCTACTTCTTGCCGGACGACTCCGAGTGCCGGGTGAGGCTGCGGCTGCCGCTGGCGATCAGCCAGCTCATGTCGCCCAGCAAGGTCGAGGCCCGCGAGGCCGTCGACCTGTGGGGTTCCGAGGATCATCGAGGATAAAAAACCCTTACCCTTTGACACAGTGAAGACATGGCCTAAGTGAGGTCCCCTGTCTTTGCATCAGGGATCATAAATCTGAGCGTTTTGCCTCGATGCATCTGCAGAAAAAGAGAGCCCCTATCCCTGATGTGCTCAGACCCCCGACGTCATATTTTTTTGTTCATGACGTTGACTCCCAGAGTCCTCGACTCATTCCCCGGGACCCGTTTCTCGTCCCGAGTCGTTTTTTGAAGGTTCCTAAGGCCTGGCGAGGGCCCCCCTGGAGGCCGCAAATTAGGAAAAACACCTCGAGTCTGGATTTTATTCATTACCCGAGGGGGTCTGGGATCTGGGAGGCCTGGCTGCTTCCTCAGGACCTTAGTGGGCCCCGGAAACGGCAGGGCCGTTTTTTCACCGTTTCTAGAAAAATGCCCCTTGAAAATGGAAATGGCAAAAAAACTGCGACCGAAAACGGCCAGAAAACGGCTCCAGGATTGGAACCGGAGCCGGAACCGGTCAAAAAACGGTGACGGAGCCGGTGAAAAAACGGCGTCGGAACTGGCAAGAAAACGGCAAAACGGAACCGGTAAAAAAACGGCCATGTCGTTTCCAGGGCGCACTAAGCTCAGGGCCCGTGCCTCATCCTGAGTCGTTCTTGGACGGTCCCGAGGCCAAGCAAAAGGGCCCCGCGGAGGCCGGAGAGACCAGGCAAAGACCCCCCCCCCGCCGTGATTTTTTCTGACAGCGCGAGGGAGTCTGGGCCGCTGGCCTTCCCGACCCAGGTCCCCCTCCTCCTCCTCCTCCTCCTCCTCCTCCTCCTCCTCCTCCTCCTCCTCCTCCTCCTCCAGGTCCCCCTCCCAGAGGGTTAGGTTACAGTCGGGCTTGTCCGTCCACAGGAGGATTATTCCAAAGTAGTCCACAAAAATGATATGGGGACGATCTGTTTAGATCCGCTTTTGCTATGTTGGGGCATTTCTCCCTGGTACCGACGTGCCCGACCGAAGGTTCGGGACCCTCTCTTCTTGGTCAGTCCGAGGACTTCGTGCGCGGCGAGGTCGCCGCCGCGTGCGCGGTGCGCGGCACGCTGCTGAGCTCCGGGGCCCCGTTCTCGGTGTGGCGCGCCCTGGAGCTGGGCGGTGCTCCTCCTCCTCCTCCTCCTCCTCCTCCTCCTCCTCCTCCTCCTCGCCAAGCCGCTGCGGCGGCCCGAAACGCCACCCTCCTTCGCGGCTCATCGCACTTCAGGGGAGAGATCCACCGCGGCAGTGGCTCGTGGAGTGCTCGCGGGGTCCTGCCGAGGCCGTGGCCGGGTTGCGGATGGCCCTGGGCCGGTCGGCTCCTCGCCGTGGACCGCTCCATGGTGGGCGTCTTTTCCAGCACCACCACGATAAGTTGGAGGGGGAGGGGGTCCTTCTCCTCCTCCTCCTCCTCCTTCCCCTCCTCCTCCTCCTCCTCCACCTCCTCCTCCTCCTCCTCCTCCTCCTCCTCCTCCTTCCCCCTCCAACTTATGGTGGTGGTGGTGGTGGTAGAAAACAGGCCCTGCACTCCAGGAGGTGTTCGTGATCGCCGCTTGAGCCCTGACGACGTTGCCTGCCAGTCGCCCCCCCCCCCCCCCGTGCGGACAAACAAGCATCAGAGCGCGTGCTTACAAACCCGTGCACCTAAGTGGGGCCCGTGCGTTGTGCCGGCATTTCTCAGGAGTTTGATGGGTGCCCTGCTACTCCCTGGCAGCTGTAGACGTAGGAGGTGAGGACGAACACCAACTGCATCGGCACGAGATACACGGTGGGATTCTTTTGGTTGGACATGCGGAGTATCGACCATGTTGCACGACAGATGTTCCCCCCAACGGAGTCTCAGGCGTATATACCATCCGACACCCACCATCGCGGGTCGAGCAGGAGCGCACTCTCGTTGCCAGCCTCAAGAGCGCCCCTTACCAGCCTCGAACGTATCCCTATCCCTAAGACTGACACTCCAAAAGGCGATGACAACCTTAGGGATTCGCCCTCGAAAAATAAGGGAATCCCTAAGATTGGCATCGTGATGAGGAGATGCCCCGCATAGGGATAGGGATATGTTCCAGGCTGGTAATGGGAGCCTTCACTCGAAGAAACAAAAAAGCATCGCCACAAACAAACGTTCGGGCTGCCGCGTGGATTTCTTGGATCCGCGCTGGGCCCCAGGCGGCGCCTCCGGCGCCGCCCCTGACGCGCTCCGCGCGCCAGGGAGGGGGGCCAGCGCAGTTTCAAGAAGTCCGCGCGGAGCGCCCAAAGTTTCTGTCTATGAGGCTCTCTTAGCTCCGCAGCCGCCACGTGCCGCAAGACCACCCCAGGCCACCACCGCACCGGCTCCGAGAGTCTTCGGGGGCCGATGGGCGCCCGCGGCACTCCCACTATCGGCTCCTCCTCCTCCTCCTCCCTCCTCCTCCCTCCTCCTCCCTCCTCCTCCTCCCTCCTCCTCCTCCTCCCTCCTCCTCCTCCTCCTCCTCCTCCTCCCTCCTCCTCCTCCTCCTCCGCCTCCTCCTCCTCCTCCGCCTCCTCCTCCTCCTCCCTCCTCCTCCCCCTCCTCCTCCTCCTCCTCCTCCCCCGCTCCTCCTCCTCCTCGTCCTCCTCCTCCTCCTCCTCCTCCTCCTCCTCCTCCTCCTCCTCCTCCTCCTCCTTCTCCTTCTCCGGGCACCACGGGCCGCGCTGCGCGCGTCCCTGACTCCGGTTGCGACCTCAGCGACGGCGTGGGCATGAACCCTGAGACAACGCTCGACGAGACCGAGCTGCACAACCGGGGGGAGGACGACGAGGACAGATCAGAGCGGTGGGCGCCGTCGATCCATCTTCGGGGGGCTCGGCGGAGCGACTCCGGCACCAGATGCCAGGAGGCAGTGACCCCGCGGCCTGCAGTGTGTTTATCGACGTGGGCCCCTCTTTTTCTTCGGCAGCAGAGGCAGTCGGTCCATGATCGATGTCGTTCCTATTCCGCAGGGGCTACTGGCACGTCAGAAGTTGCAGAGTTCTGGGGGCTTCGGGGAGAAGTCCCCAGCCCATCCAGACACTAGACGATCGTGATTATAGACCTGTGATCGTGGAGTGTGGTTATTGTTTCCAGGCCCAGATGGGCAGTACACCTGGTGTGGGATGTCGACACGACTATGGCATCAGCTCGTCGGGGAGAACGCTGCACTCAGTTGATAGAGCAAGTTCACGAGGAGCTGCTCGGTATCGAGAAACATGAATGGGTTCGCATGTGTACACGCCCGAACGAAGTCGGACGAAATGCGGAACTCGATGACGACCTCGGTCTGTAACAAAGCTACGGAAGTGCAAATATGCCGACGAAGACCGAGCAGCAGAATTCCGACTTGGTTCAACTACGATCCCAACTTCTCGTGCAGCGTAGGATGGCGAAGGGAACCCACACGGGCAGTGCTACCGACGACGTACCTCGGGATCAGTGCCGGGAGTTCGTCGATGTCGAAGTCGATCTTGCGCGCGCGACCTACCGCAGTCGATCCCTGTCTAAGCAGAGCTCATAGGAGACCACGGACGCGCTGGTGCTGGGGTTCAACCGAGGCCTGGCCCGCTCATGTCCACAATCAGGAGGGAAAGAAACACACAGACACAATTAATTGGCGATTCCCCAGGACATATGGGAAAATATGGGAAGTGGGGGGGAAGGCAAAAACCCAGAAAAGATGGGCAAATATGGGGAATCGTTTTATTTGTGTGTACTTATTTGTTTGTCCTGGGGCCCCTTCACACAGCGCCGTCCAGCGCCCGATCCGCCGTTGCTCGCGCCGAGGCCGCGGCCCGCGGCAAGGGGGAGATACAGTCGGGGCCCTGAAGAAGGAACCCTTCTCGTTGGGGAGGGGCTCCGCGTTCCTTAAGTGTTTTGCAGCTTGCCTCGGGTTTTCCTTCTGTTTTCGATCGGAAATCGAAGGTTAACTCATGGAAAAAAAGGGCCTCGTTCCTTATTTAGGGTTCCTTAGGTCAACGCCCCGACTGCACTGCGTGATCTCTTCACTCTTGCAGAAGCCCGCGGCCGCTGGAGGCATGGGCTGCGTGCGCTGCGACCTGCAGGGAATTCGGTTGGACGCTTCGACCGGGCCCATCTCGAGGACGAGTACGACGCCAGCACCAGGTGCGATCAAGCAAGAGACAATACTATGCTGATGGCGGGTTTGGAGCAAGCAGAGACGGACCTCGACGGCACGATCCAGTTTCCTCGTTCGGCACCGAAGCGACGAGCATGCCCATTTGGGTCAATGCCCTCGGAACCACGGCTCCTCATCCTGGATTCGGCTGTCTGGGGCACTTTGAAGCGCACAGGCGTGGGGGCCGACCAGCATCCAACGACGGCCGCAGCGTTCCTCGAATGGATGTCGGACGTCATCGCCTCTTTCCCACGCTCAAGACCGTCCCCTTTGTTTTTTGATTTCCCATCGTGCACTGGCCAGGAAAAGAAGAGAGGCAAGCTTGGGTCAGCAGGCCAAAAGTGGATTCATTGATTCCGCCCCATGGGGAAGGCTTGGAAGTCGCGGCTCTGGCATCGCGGTCGACGGCGCCAAGTGCCTCTACCAGCTCATTGCCACAGTTTCGCGCGCCGTCGGAGGCGCGAGGACGCCATCGCTGCGCAGGCCTGCACGTCATTGGAGGCTCGAGCAGGAGGGTCTCTCGCGCGCCACTGTCGATGAGGGCGCCACCAACTCCTTCGCGAGCACGGACAGAAACACGATCCTCAGCGCCACCCCCTCCTTGCATTGTGAGGAAGGTGTGGTTTTCCAGCGCAGGCGCGCGATCCAGGGCGCACTTCAGATCGATTCGTCATCGGGGGCTATTTCCTTGAGGCCTACGGCGGGAGAGATGATGGGCCACCCCGACCCCGCTCGGGCTTTTCCTCCAGTCCCGAGCGACATCGAGACATTACGCCGAAGCGATCGGGATCGACAGGAACTCATGCGACGTGGGGCTGACGGTTTTCGCCGACGACGTCGCGAAGACGACTGCACCTGGCCGGGGCCCCGAACCGCGCGCCTCGGGCCGTGAGGCTGCGGCGTTGGCGGCCCTGGCGGGATCGAGCGGCAACCGCGCGAGTCTGGCCTTGCAGGAGGCTCCCCCCCTGCCGGGCCACGGCGCGCGCGAGTGGCGTGCCAGATCAGATCGGGTGCGGCTGCGCATGCTGGTGGAGCGGGGTGAGGGCACGCGCAGGGCAGAAGCGGGGCGGAAGGAGGCGCGGGCGGGCGGGCGGGCAGGCGGGCCGGCGGGAGGAGGAGGAGGAGGAAGAGGAGGAGGAGGAGGAGGAGGAAGTGAGGAAGTGAGGAAGTGAGGAAGTGAGGAAGTGAGGAAGTGAGGAAGTGAGGAAGTGAGGAGGAGGAGGAGGAGGAGGAGGAGGAGGAGGAGGAAAAGGAGGAGGAGGAGGAGGAAGAAGGAAGGAGGAGGAGGAGGAAGTGAGGAAGCGAGGAAGTGAGGAAGAGAGGAGGAGTAGGAGGAGGAGGAGGAGGGAAAGGAGGAGGAGGAGGACGCTAAGATAACCGATGGTTCGTTTCAAAAACAGAGAGAGGAGCCGCACCCAGCGACAGCCTGGCCCAAATCTCCCGCTAAGCGGGAAACCTGGGCAAGGCCGAAGCTAGGGGCGGCTCGGGTGGGCCAACTACGCCTCACCCCGCTTGAATTTTTTCGAGGAAGGCTACACCCGTTGGTGTGGCTTGCTTACATTATCTGATAAGATTCTGGGCACTTCTAATTGCATGAGCGCCACATGCTATGCATATGTACGTGCCCTATCGTGTGATGGGTCAGCAAAGCGGGCACCTAAGAACACATTGGAAAAGGAACGGGCACCCTCGATCCCTGCACGAGGTTGGGCGCTCACACAGGGAGTGGCAAGAAAATTCTGGGAGGCCCTATTACCGTGGGAATTCGTAGACATCACGGAACAACACACACTGCACGCGAAACGACATGTACGTCCCGTCTCGCCTACTTGAATCATGGTGTGCGCACTCTCACGCAGCTAGCTTCGGTCGAGGGTTGAAAATTGGCCCCGACTTCTTTTTGACTTGAGCTTTTGCTCTGACACGGGGCCTGGCCACGGGTCCCGAGGGATCGGAAAACCTCGAAATAAAAATGTCGCAAGCTCGCGTCCC